CTGGAGTGATGATTCTTAGCCAAATCAGATATGTGCTCCAAGAGGCACTTTGTTGGGTTACTTGTGTTGAGTCGCCATAATGATCTCCTCCGTAACCCTGATTGCAAATATTGTGCCTCTTGTTGTAGTGTGTCTTGGATGATATCACAGAGATGGGTATAAGTCTGACCAGAATATTGTTAAACTTTTAAAGACTTTCTGTGTAATGTACCTAAAGCCAGCAATCGCATTACTTGGAGTATTCTCTTTTGCATCTCTTTTCCTTCTTAACTTTATGTTTCTCTTGCGGTTGTTAGTCCAGTTGTTGAGAAGTGACAGTTAACTAGTGTCTCTCTTTTGTGTTCTTGAAGTTTGAAAATTTGGATGCCTTATCTAGGAGGTGCTTCAACCTGGATTGAGCTAACATACTTTGTTTTCTTCTATCTTAAGGTGATTGATAAAGTACAGGAGGAAAAGACACGCACAGGTATCGTTTTCTCATTTATTTATTATGAAATTTGCATCCACTGTGCCTTTGGCTGATTTACTCCTTGAGATGATAATACTTAATACTTAACAAGTATCCAAAGCCTTTTCTTCTGATCAATCCTATGAAGAGTACCTCTCCTGTAGAATCATGTGAAAAATCTTGGTCGATGGTTTATACTTTATTCAAAATAGTGGAATCATGGATTTTCTTTGGGGTTTTTGTTTCAAAAGCAAGTTGTTCCTGATGATTCTTAATAATTCTTGAATATGTATGTACAGATAGAAAACCACCAGGGGTTGGACGAGGAAGAGGGCGAGAAGGTCCAAAGGGCATGGGACGTGGTATGGACGATGGAGCTGCCAGAGGCAGAGGCCGAGGTGGTTCAATTGGAAAGATGGGTGGCAACAAAGGTAAATAACCGAAATCCTGACATGATTTATCCTTTCCATTGAGTGAGGTTAAACTAAATTAGTATCTTGTGAAAAAACAGTGGGAGGTCGAGGCCGTGGTTGATACAATTTATTAGATGTCTCTACCGGACTGAAGCTGCCGAGAAATTACCTCCATATCGCTGCCACCACAAACCATCAACTGCTAGTGATTCTCTCTTGTTGTTACACGAGTGATTGTTTCTCTATATGTTTATTTGCCTCAAGAATATTAAACTTCAAACACTCTTGTTATATTGGGGTCTTTTATTTATGTTTTAAGGGCTCTTGAGAGTGTTTTTCGATTCTCACTAGTTTTTGTTTTTTGTTTTTTTAGGGCCTTATTCATTGATGGATTCCCGTAGAGTTAGTGAGATTTTATAAATTTTTGTATATTATTGTTGATTTTATAAAATATTCTTGTGGATTGTTATTGATTGATATGAATTTGCATTAACTTTCTTTCTTCTATATAAGGTAATATATATTTTCTAACTTTCTAGAATTCACTTTAGGCTTTCTTTAAAATAAGAAGCAACCATTGTTAGTTGCCATCATCGTTTTGCAAATCTTGTTTTTTCATACATCATTGACACAAAAGTTAAAGTTTTCTTGAAAAAAAACAAAAGACAAAAAAGTTTCAATGAGACTTTCTTTTCTATAATATATTATTTGTTCATGTCTTTGTCTTGCAAAATATGGGTTTTGAGATTGATTTATTTTGTTTGTGGCATGTATTTGCAGTTATTTGGTTTGTGTCATGTGTGTTAATCGAGTTGACTTTTTTGTTTATACAGTATTAAGAAAATCAAAAGAGAATTATTTTGTTCGTTGTTTTTTTTTTGGTGTCGTGTGTGTTTTTAACATAAATTTCAAAAATCTTATGGATATCTATATAATTATATATGAAGTGCGAAATCCTACGTGGCGCCCTCAGAATGAATTTGAGGGTGGTTGATTACAGGGGTACCCTTAATAAAATTAAGGTAATTACACCTCATGCCATCGAAATTTCGTGAGCCTTATATCCTTCATAAACAATAATTGGGTTTGGACCAAAATATTTTTGTAGCCCATGTTCATTAGTCGGTTTTGATAAGCCATAATTGCCACATCCATAATTTTTTTATTTTTCTTTTATATAACTAATTTTAGGGTTTAGACATTGCGAATATAAGTTGACCTAACAATAATTGGTCGTAAGTTTATATGGCTGATTTTGTTAGTTGATATTGGGCTTCATATTCTTCAATTTGTTTTAATTTCGTTTGGCCCATAAAAAAAGTATTATTAGCTATATTATTATAATTTTTAATTAGATCACTCTTATGTTAATCTTCTGATATCATGTAATTATTTACAATTTTATTTACTCCATAAGATATTATTGTGTATGTCAATCTCTAAATTTTGTGTTATATAGCTTTTATGGTATTTTTTATAATCATCTTATCGTGTTTAAGAATTATTTACAATTTTAATTATTCCGTAAGATATTCTCCTGTATGTAAAACCCTAATTTTTCTGTG